ATTTCTTTATAAATCACCCAGTTTCAGGTATTCTGTTATAAGCAACAGAAATGGACTAATATGTGGAAAAGACAGGCATTTATTAAGCAGAAATGAGCTAGTTTTCTCAGGATGAAGAGGGAAAAAAAGGATTTGATTCATTATAAAATTTGAGAGCTTAGAAAGTATTTATTACTTTCTGGATTTAGTTCAGCAATGTTGTCAAATTTCCCTGGAGATAGGGCCTAATCACTGAAAACAGGGCAATCTTATTTTTGTATAAGTATGCATTTAAGAACTAAAACTTGGTAAGAGAGTCCAAATCTTTCCAGAAGTTAAAAACCACACGACTTCAGGCACATACCCAAGTACAAGCAAGGCAAGTTTGGCAAACAAAAGAAGGCAAGTATGCCCCCCTGACCTCTGCACCCAGCCCAGCAATAACCACGCCACCGCTGGAAGCCCACCGGTCTCCCCTGTGGGAATGAGGGGGGTGCCACAGGCCTCAGTCCCACCCCTCCTCCTTCCATCCCATTTCCTTCCCCCTTCCCCTCTCCTTCTCCCCCCCAACTGCTCTACAACATCATAGAATGTAAAAAAAAATATTAATAAAACTAAAAAAAACAAAAGGCAAGTGCTCACATTGCTTGGCTCTGTCGTTGTCCGCATTGGCCTCATCAATAGCTCGCTGTATCTCATCCAGCCACAGGACATTAGAAGTGCTCTCAGAGTCCTGGGAACAATGTCATAGAATAAAAGAAAGATCAGTGAATGATGACGACACAGAATTAACCGTTTTTCAGGAGATATTTTGCTATAATTTCCACAAATTCTTGTTCAGCAGCCACCACACACAGCCGTATACTATACAAGCTGCTGAGGAACAGACCCCAAAGCTGATCTCTGCTCCCTTCCTCCCTGGCACCCTTTAGTCCAGCCCATCATCATCATCTCTCAACTGGACAGCTGCACTGATCTCCTTCCAAGTTTGTCCTCTTCCACAGTGGTCCTCTATAGGGAGCCGGATGATCTCTTCAAAATAGACCTCTCATTACACCACTCTGGGGCTTAAACTCCCTCAAAGGCTTCCCCTACAGTTAGAAGGAAACAAAGTCCCTTCTCACTGACTGTGGGGCTCTAATGATTTGGCCCTGCCCACCCCACCGGCTTCATCTCACGCCCCTCTGTTTCTCCCTTCCCTGTTCTAGAACCTCACACCAGCCTCCCTCAGACCACAACACTCTACCCTAGCTGCACGGCTCTTGTTTTTTCCATATCATTCAGGCCTCAACTCCAATGCTACTCCTCCGAAACGCCTTCCCTGGCTACCCTAGACAAATACTGTCTTTCTCAATCACTCAATACTTGTAGTTCTCAAACTACGTGCCAATGTGCCACGAGATATTTTAAATTTGAGGGGAAAACTGATACTCAATATTTATGAGACACTGAGACAAAAATAAAAAACAAAAACATGGTGATTGCCTTCAAGGAGCTAACAGTGTATGGAAGAGACAGATGTGTCAAGAAATAATTATAAAACGTGATCAGGGAAATATTAGCTGTAAATACATGACCTAGAAACAGGCAAGAAGAAATTAACTTATGGTAAGGGTGTTGAATTGCAGGGGGAGAAAAGACTAAATAGTTAAGGATAACTTCAGAAAGGAAGTAATAATAGCAATGAACATGTATTCAATTATCTTTATTATTTTAAAGATATTTTAAATATGGGTTGATTCTGATGTGGTACTGGCATATATTAAATGGGACTTCCAGATAGCAACTGTATTTTATAAAAACTTTTCCAAGATTGTAAGTAAATTTTGTTATCAGCAGAAATTAAATATTTGCAAGGATGATGTGACATTCCATTTTAAAAATAAGAGCATTTACCTCTCTGTAGGAATAAGTGTTGTGTTCTAAATACTAAATCAAGACTGTGATGAACGGAAGGGACTCCAGCACTGGAGCCACGGAGAGTCAACTCCATCATTTAGGATTCAAGATGGATGGGGGACAAGGACAAATATCACTTGCCAGCTCCTCTGGTAGGCTCCTAATCCTAATTCCTTCTGAGGCTAATATGAGCCAATACATGTGGAAAGGGCTCTGAAAATGAGACCAAACATCTGTTATTTCATCCTGCAACACCCAGGCTAACGAAGCTTGGCTCCTGCTTCCGCAATCATCTCTAGCTGCCTCTGCCACCTGAGGACCGTCAGCTGTTAGTAAGATTTTCCATTTTTAAAAAAAAATTTTGTCGATTATACATATTCATGGGGCACAGAGCTGACAGTCAGCACCTGTGCCCATGACGTGGTGAACAGATCGATATTACCAGCACACTCACCACCTCAAATTGCAATTATTCCTGCCACACAGCAACCCTAGGTCTGTTCTCTCCCTCTGCAAGTCCAAGATTTTTCACTTCTCTCGAGAATGGATGGGGAAGGCACAGACAGGAAGCAAGACGGGAAGGGGAAGACTAGAAGATGAATGAAGAGACGGGAAAGCGGGAATTATTTTTTCTCTATTTCCAAGGCCAAAAAGAACCCAACCCTCCCCAGGTATTAGCTAAAAAAAAAAAAAAAAAAAAAGCTCATTTATAAAAAGTTCATTTATGTCTGTTCTCAGTTTTTTTGAAGTGTATTTACCTTCCTTTATAACTTATCGCTGTAGAAGATGCACCACACAAATTTTTACCCAGAGAAGGCAGTTACAATCCCACATCAAAGCTTACAGTATTAGTCTTATAAGCCAAACTAAAGAGAGACTTTGCAAACCAAAGGAATTTAAGTCAACAGTTAAATCATGACACACTGAACTAAATGTTACTAGAATTAAATACAAAACCAAGAGCGAAAACTGAATCCAACTAATGTAAAGTCTCCTTTATACGCCTCCACCTCAGCTACAAAGCCAGGTTCAACATATGAGTTACAAATGGATTAAATGACCAGAAACTGTGTCATGTGCAAATCATGTCATAAATTCCTGAATTTAGATGACTCCTAAAAAAATTTTAAACAAAAAATACCTCTCATATTTTGTGGGTTTCTTGGTTATCATTTCTGTAATATAATAGCATTTTTTCTCAGTTTGTTTTACCATATATTATGTAGTTTGAAGTATTAAACATGGACCTTTGCTTGTAAAGATCTTGGTTTGACAAAATTTAATCAAAATGTGAAAAATGTACACAGATCAATCTCTTCCTAGTTTATCTCTCAATCTTTAAGACTCTGCATTTTCTGATTTGTGCAGCAGGCTGTTGGGTTGTCTGACATAGAATACAGAATTTAATCTTAAGTTTTGTTAATTATAGGAAAATCTGTAATTATGCATGTTCCTTCTTTTACTGCATTTTAAATCGTACTCTCCAGAATATAACTACTCATAAAAGCTTACTATATATTGCACAACAATGTGAATGTTCTTAATATTACTGAACACTTAAAAATAGTTATGATAGTAAATTTTATGTTATATATATTTTACCACAATTAAAAAACAAACACACATTGTAGATCTGCTCCCCAACGTGCATAGAATAATAGGAGTCCTCTACATTTCAATGTTGTATTATGATTTAATTTAATAAAATAGTGCTATTTGAGGGGTCCCCCCAGTTATCTGACTCTATAGAGTTACTGAATGGCTCAGAACACATTGAGCTATGGCAAAACAAACAAATAAAACCCAGTCTCCCACCTCTCCCCCAACAAAAACACCAACAACTATAAAACCAGGTTTTGGCCAGGTACTGGACAAATTCAGACCAATGTGACATTAAAGCAGAATTTTCAAAGTAATCAAGCATGCAAGCAATTTTAACTTCTTAAAAATGTTTGTTTCACATGATTGATTTAATTTATAATTATGGAATGCATTTAAGAATTAAGATTTGAGGGCCGGCCCGGTGGCGCACTGGATAAGTGCGCCGCTTGGGAAGCGCGGCGGCGCTCCCGCCCAAGGGTTCGGATCCCACATACAGACCGGTTCCCGCTCACTGGCTGAGCGAGGCGCGGGAGCAACACCGAGGGTTGCAATCCCGTTGCCGGTCCCCGGTCCGGTCCGGGGGCAACACTGAGGGTTGCGATCCGTTGCCAGACACGGAAAAAGACCAAAAAAAAAAAAGATTTGAAATACCTGGGAGGATAAAGGAAAGGATAATGTCCGACAGCTCAATTATGAAGTAGAAATTACACTCTAGAACTTTTTAAAAATAAGTAAAAATGAGATATGGGAGAGATTCAAAACTAACTGCTGTTCAGCATCTCTCTTCAGCTTAGCACTGTAAAGGGCTGTGTACTTCCTGCCCTTCTTTAAGTGCACGTAAACACACTGGGTGAGAATTACAGCAGCTCTTCAGAACAGATTGGTAGGGGTGGGTAAGAGTTAAGTGACGTTGTTGAGGATAATGTAACATGCCCGGAGGCTCGGCCTGAGTCATGCATACTGAAACGTCAATAGCAAGTGGGTCACATCCCTTCTCTTCGTAGGGCCAAGGCATGTTTCCTGCCTGCACAGCACAGAAGAGTGTACTTCTAAGACAGGACAAGGCTTCCATTTGCTGCTAATGCATGGAACTGAGGTGAAACTGTGCTTCTGAATTTTACACATTTGATAGCGTTTGGCAAATGGGACTCAGATCATCAAAATGAAAGCCCTCATCTTTGCAGCTGCGGGACTCCTGCTTCTGCCGCCCACTTCTTGTCAAAGTGGTAAGCTCTTTTCTTACGGGACAGGATGGGGTCCTGGTTTGTGTCACAAGCCAAGAGCCAATGAAGCGAATTTTCTTTTCATCAAACACAAACTGCCACCCACAGGCAGAGTTTGATCTTAGTTACTAAAAGGTGGAATCATGGAACTGAATTTCTATAGTTTGCTCATGCTATTCAAACCTTGTCAAAGACTAAATGTTCTCTACGGATACTTAAAAATTTGTGGCATAGTTAAGATCTTAGCTACAATTAAACCAAAATGCAGTTTTCTTTGTGAGAAGTTTTTGAGTTTGTAAGAATTTCCTCTGATTGAACAAAGAGAGCACTTTTGCAAGAGATTTAAAAAATATCCTGTTTATATCTTCTGGTGAGACACAAATGCAGGAAACAAGAATATTGCCAGAAAGCCAGTCATCTGCTTTCGAAAGCCAGTGATGCTAATAAATTCGTGTTTCCAAAATGAAATAACTTTTTTTTTGCTTTCACTATTACCGGAGAGTTCTTCCCACCCCCACATATGATTTTTTAATTTTAGAAATAAGATCTCCCAAATACTAATATTCAACCTTAAATGTGTTTACTATTTTACTCATTACAATGTTAGCCTGTAACCTCCTGCTTGTTCCAAAATTGACCAGTTTGGGATAGGTCTGATCTCACAACTCTTTTACCATTAGGTCACACTCTAGTCAACATCGTGAGACATGAAAGAGGTGGGGCATGAGGGAGACACAACAAGGGGAAAAAAACAAAATCAAACAAAAACAACCCTCAGTAAAGAGGAATGTGACTTAAATTGATTGAGGTCACCACAGAGAGCCCTAACAGAGGTCACCAATGAGAGCCTTAAAAGAACCCGCAGCTAGGGTTCATGAACAGGATGGGCACGTGTTTTTTCTGGGAGTGGATGAGCCAAAAGGCTGAGCAGCAGAATTGTGGGAGAAACGAGGTTTGCTGGGGAGGTTCCTTCAAGATGCTAGTGGGGTTTGGTGGAAGTTAAAAGTGGGAACTCTAAAGGAGGCAAAACAAAAGGCAGTGAATATGCTTTCTTTGACAGGGGTAGGGGAGAAATGCAAAGTAGAATCCATTATCTAGTGGTTGAAGTCCATTCCCTTTGGCTCAGTCCCTCTCCAAGGCCTTTTCCCAGGTTGAACAACATTTGAGAAACATTATGCCAAATGGAAAACCCGTATAAAGAATTCAAATGCATTTTTAAAAAAAATAAAATAAAATTTAACGATGAGTACTATTCTTAAGGAAAACCAGGCTCTGAGGAATAAAAGATTTAAGAGGAACCAGATCTGGAATTTTCACGAAAATAAAATCAACTTTCTCACAAACAGTCATTGTTTAGTGTGTTTATAGGCACAATGTCTCCCTCAATCACAGGAATTTTCTAAAAACTGACCAACATGTGGTTTCAACAGCTCTCTTAGATTCTGAAGGGAGATAACTCGCTCAGCATGTTCAGCTGCCATTTTCTAGCTTTGTGTCCATCTCTAATTCTCTTTGTGTGATGTAAGGTATAAGAACTTTTCTAAAATGCAAAAGTGAGCAGAAGGATTTGTGTGGCTGAACCAGGTGTCACACAACACACCTCCAAAGGTCATATCTCAACACAGCTGCAGAAGAATGCTGCCTCCCCAATTTTTCTTTCCTTTTCTTTAATCCACATTTCCTGAAATGACACCTGATCACCTTCATGTCTCCAGCCGGTCAGTCCACACTTTATTTTTACACACTGAATTCAGTCTGTGCAATCTCAGGGTTATGGGGGACGCTTCAACTTCACCCTAAGACAAACTGCCAGAGATTAAGGGAGGAAGAGAAACTGGCTCTGAGTGAGAAACAGGTTACTAAACCCTAATCTCGAGTATGCAACATGGAGAATTCAGAGGTCCAATCTCAGGGTTATGGGGGACGCTTCAACTTCACCCTAAGACAAACTGCCAGAGATTAAGGAAGGAAGAGAAACTGGCTCTGAGTGAGAAACAGGTTACTAAACCCTAATCTCGAGTATGCAACATGGAGAATTCAGAGGTAGTGTGACAGGACATTACTGGCAGTATTTTAAATTAATACTTGTAAGTATGAGGTTTATATGCAGCATAAAAGTCCTTCTTAAATGTAACAGAAATCTGAGAGAATCTATTTTCTATATATGACAAAGATTAATTTATGGAAAAGTGATATAATGATCAACAGGTTTGAGTATCAAGGTTTGTCTTTGAAATTGCCCTTTTAGGAATTAAGATTATCAATATTAACATGACAAATAATGCCATATATGAGGGATCTTCAAAAAGTTCACGGAAAGATTCATATTATCTTTTCTATTTTCCATGAACTTTTTGAAGTACCCTTGTATTTACAGTATATGGTTGATGTGTTTCCATCTTTTTTTAAAAAGATTCATTTCCAGCTTCTTAGGTCATCATAGTGATTTCTCCTTCAAGGGTCTTTCTTTGTCTCCTCTACCCCTAAAATCTGGCATTTCCCCTAAAGTCTGCCTTGGGATCCTTTCTTCTCACCTCTCTCCCTCGGCCATCTCAACCACTCCTAGTAAATTAAACTAGAGCCTCCACACAGGCTAAAAAAATTCATAAGTGCAGCTTGGTCTCCTGGAATTTTGGACTCCACATCTAGTCTTCTAACCGGTTGCTGGCATTTTATACACTAATACCCCACCAGCAACTCAACCTCAGTAATACTAAAAACTGAGATTTGAGCATCTCCCCCATCCAGTTCCCTTGTGTCTTGTCCCGCCATATTTAATGGCCCCCTCCCCTTCTCCAAGTCATCTAGAGTAGAAGCCTCTGAGTCTTTTCTTGGCTCCTGCCTCTCCACTGCTCCCATAGCCAATCAGATGTGTTCCTATGACCACTGCTCTAGCTCAGTAACTCACCATCCTAAGTTTGAGTGAGTACAGGGGCCTCCACATCAGACCCTCTGGCCTCTAATTTCTTACTGTGTCAATCTATTCTCTGCACTGTCACCTACCTCATCTTAAACACAAGCCAACATGATGGTTATTTTAGTTTCTTCTTGTGGCTATATCAAATTATTATAAACTGAGTGGCTTATAACAACACTAATTATCTTATATTTCTGGAGATCACAAGTCTTAAAATTAAGGTGCTGGCAGGGCATGTTCATTCTGGAGCTCTAGGGGAGAATGTGTCTTCTTGCTTTTTCCAGCTTCTAGAAGCTGCCTGCATTCCTTGGCTCATGGCATCTTCTTCTATCTTCAAAGACAGCAGCACAGCGTCTTCAAATCTCTCTCTCTGCCTTTGACCCTCTTGCCTCCCTCTTATAAGGACTCATAAAAACATTTGGCTCACCTGACAATCCAGGATAATCTCATCTCGAGGTCCTTAACTAAATCACATCTGCAAAGTCCCTTTTGCCACATAAAGTAACATATTCATGGGTTCCAGGGATTAGCAGATCGAATCTTTGGGGGATGGAGCATTATTCTGTCTACCACAATGATCATTCCTCTGTTCAAAACTGTGTATGCAACCCCAGCATCCACGAATAGGTACATGATTTCTTGGGACAGTTCAGAGGCACTTCAGGAATTTGGCTATCACCTACTCTTAACCTCATCTCTCAGATGCACCTTATTAGGGTAAGAAAATGCATTGTTCTTCATCTTCTCCACTAGTCTAAGAGTTATTTACAGACAGGAATGGCATTTATTTAAAACCTTATAACACTGGCACATAAGCATGCAATAAGCATGTGCTGACTCAATTCATCTGGCATTACCCACACTATACCTTTGCTCATTTATCACAAGCAGAATCTTACTCATCTAATAAATTCCATCCCTTTATGAACCTTGTTCATCTTTGCTTATGTTCTTTTCATTGATATTTTCCTCCAACACCTGAATCTGTTAACTATTATCTGAATGCCTACATGGTTTACAGTCAACATAACATTTGCCTATAATGTTCTGTTGGGCTATTTTTGTTTCTTCCAACGGTATCAAAAACTCCTTACTTCAAGGAGTTGTCACCTAGTTTTTGTTCCTGCATGGAATAGCATGATGCTGGCACATGATATGTGCTAAATATATGCCTATTGACTGCCTGATCTATAACGATTATTTAAAATAAAATGACCCTGGGAGAGAGGGAGGGGGGAAGAGGAACAAGTAAAGGGTCATGAAAATCAACCACAATGTATACTGAGAAGTTAAAATTTAAAAAAAATAAAAATAATAAAATAAAATAAAATAAATAATAATAAAAAAAAATTTTTTTAAAAAGACCCTAAATTCTACAACCACTAAAATTATGTAGCATAAGACACTTCATTTTATTTTCTCCCAAACCACAGATATGACTTGGCAAAAA